ATGAGAGCACAGCTAGACAAGGGGCCTAGAAACACTTTAGGAAGGGCTCCTTGGAGAACTGTATTTTTGGAAAAAGAGGAATGTCTTCTTTCCCAGAGTTTTCCTTTGGTCCCTGTGATAAGGCTACTTTCAAAGCCCCCATCAGAAAGGAGGCAAGAGAAGCTACTAGTACCAAGACAGGGATTGCACCTAGATCTGTCTATTGAACTAATACCAATGTTTCTGCTCCCTCCCTGTCACCCAGCATTCCACCTTCACTCAAACCATGGACAGGACAGTCCTTTGACAAGACAGCAACAAATCCAGGGCAGTGGTGCCACCTATAAATCCAGCAACTTGGGAGGCTGAGGCAGGAGGATTGCAAGTTCAAAGCCAGCCTCAGTAATAAAACACAGATGGTGTGGTCCACGATGGTCCAATGAAGGAGGTTTGCTCAACAGGGTGAGACAGGCTTCCACAAGACAGATTCCTTCTAACATACAGGGCAGTTGCTGTGCTACCTGCAAGAACGGGAATGCCACCCACACCCTGGAACTGCCCCTGACACACAGACTGCCAGGAGTCTCTCTCTGCCAAGGGTGAGACCTAAAGGTTTCAGGATCCCATCTCTGATCCAAGGGCACTTGAAGGGTACACTAGGAACAGATCCTAAACTTGGGGATGGGCAGGGAAGCTGGTCCCTAGCCCTCACATCGGCTTCACACTCTGACTTCCCAGTCCCTGATGGCCACTACATGAACTGAGAAGACACCAGGTGCCCCATCTCAGCTGGCTTCCAGCCTGCAGGCTAAACACAGGCTGGAGGAACACTAGATGCCCCTTACCCCATTCCTCACTCTCTATTCATGAAAAATCCAATAGCTTCCAGGACCATATCCAAATACGAAGTCTGTAAGGGTAGAGGAAAGGCCACAGCCAGTCCTATAAGGCCCACAGCTGAAGTCTCTATGCTTTCCTTCCCTGCCACCTTCCAGAGCATCTGGCCTGGAGCTGGTAAGAACCTGACCACCCGGCCAGCTTAGACTCTCCTCAGCATGTGAGTGGTGCCAGGCACAGCTTCCTGGGACGAGCCAGAGACAGGGCTGCAGGGTGAGGTGGGCAGAAACAGAGCTGGCTGGTCTCTGGGAGCTCAACCTCAGGCTCTTACTGAGGGCAGCTTAGGCCTCTCCACATGCCTGTGGGGGAACAACAGACTCCCTGGGTAGGGTGGCAGCAGAAGACCTCAGTATAGTCTCAGATGTGCCCAGTGCCCAAAGGTGAGGAAGAGGAGCCAGATAGAGATGGTTCAGGTCTAACATTGATTTTCTGAGTGACCTTGAGAATGTCCCTTTCCATCCTGGGGGGCTGCTAGGTTCAGCAGGACAAAGTGGAAGGGGGACTGGCCTCACTGGAAGAACAAGGCTGCTTTGAGAAACTGGAGCAGGCAGAGGAATGCAGGTTCTTGGAGGGGTGTTTGTTCTTTCCCGGGGCACAGCTGTCACCAGGCACCAGGCGTCCAGCAGTGTGCCCAGGTGCAGCTGTTGGGGTTGGAACAACAGGGTATCTATACAGGAGCAGGTGGGTGCTGCTCCCCCTGCAGATGTCTGCGCTGGCACCCCAGGGGTCTGGCAGTCACAGGAGACTATAGGGCAGCCACCTGGGACTGGGAGAGTGGGGGCTGGGGGATCTGCAGGAGCCAGAGGTAGTTAACTCCTTCCACTCTTTTAAGTCCACAACCAGAAGCCACCTGTGATGAGTACAGTGTCACCATACTCACCTTTGACAATGGCTCTGGCCCCCAGCTATACACCTACCCTGCAGTGATGGTACATCCAGACTCTGCTGCCTCAAGCCCTCAGCCTGGACTCCCAAGTCCAATCCTCAGTGCTCTCTGCCTCTGGACCCCTAACCTCTCCTCAGATCCTCCATTCCTTTTCACTGTTCCCTGAGACCCAATCTCAATGCCAGACTCCGAGGGACCTCGTTTTGTACTTTAGCACCCCAGTTCTGGACCCTAGGCCCCTCTATCCACATACCCCACCTTTCCCACCCCTCAAATCCAATGTAGAGGTCACAGAATCATTCCAGGAGTGCTCTCCTGACTTCCAGGTTTGAAGGCCCTGTGGAAACCACACACCAGGCATGTGCTCAGCTTGGGGACAGCACCACTCACAGGGTGCCCCACCACAAGGGCTATGCACTGCCTCAGTCCAGCATCTGGACACCTCACTATCTCACGAAGACCTGAAGTGCTGCTACTTCTTTGTTACCACTGGTACGGGATGCAGGATGGGAGAGGCCAGACAGGGGCCCAGTGTCTAGGTCACCCCTCATGCCCACTCTGTAATAGTGTCTTCTTGTGCCAGAGCAGAACCACAAAGATGCAGATCCTGGAGCAACAGTCCAAGATGGAGAAATGGACCCAACTGCTCAGGGCCCCTGCAGCCAGCTCCAGGTCCTTGTAAGCCCATCCCTCCAACTTTGGTTTGGCCTACACTAAGCTCTGCCCTGTGGTGTGACCTCAGCCCCAGCAGGAGCAGCTGTCTTCCCTGATATTGGTTCATAGCAAATATTCCTTTTTATGCAATACTCCACAGCAGCCAGGCACGGTGGCACACGCCTGTATTCCCAGTGACTTGGGAGGCTGAGGCAGGAGGATCACATGTTCAAAGGCAGCCTCAGTAACTTAGCAAGGACCTAAGAAGCTTAGCAAGACTTGTCTCAAAATAAAAGGCTGAGGAAGTGACTCAGTAGTTATGTGCCTCTGAGTTCAATCCCTGGTACAAAAAAAAAAAAAAGAAAAAAAGAAAGAAAGTAAAGACTACACAGCAGAAACTCCCAAAGTACCAACACAGGTGTACAGGTTCCCCCTTGTCCACTCCAGCAGAGACAGAATTCAGAAACAGATGGACTTCACAGAAACCAACACCCTGTCCAGGGTATCACCACCCACCCTGGCACTGCCAGATCCCAGGCGTGGCACAAAGGGCCTCCTGGGATGGCTCCTGTGGGAAGGCAGTGGGGAGGGAAGGGGCTTTGGAGTCAAGTTGCTGCTCCTGGCTTCAGGTTTCTTCAGATGGGGATAACATTCCTACCCTGGGTTCAAATCATGACTCTGTCACTTCCTTTTGGAAATATAGAAAAGTCACTTTTCACTTATCTTTGAGTAACAGCACCACCTATGGCACAAGGTGGTTGTGCACATTAAACAAAAATGCAGGGAAGGCATTCCAAAGAGCCCTGCAGAGGCACCAAGGGTGGAGCTGACACCTGAGCAGGGCCAACTTCTTCCCCTTGCAAAGACCTCCTCTGCACACCATCCTGCCCCAGACCCTCATCCTCGGCAGCAGGCAGCATCCCTGCCACTGCTATACTAGGGAAGGGAGGAACCTAACGAAAATCACCCCTAAGTTTGAACTGAAGCATGTGTGAGGCACTGAGTTCGAGTCTCAGCACCACATATAAATAATTAATTAAATAAAGGTCCATTAACAATTAGGTAAAAAGAAACAAGAAGGCAAGTGGGGGGCTGGGAATGTGGCTCAGGGGTTAAGTGCACATGGGTTCAATCCCCAGTACCAAAAAAAAAAAAAAAAAAAAAAAAAAATAAGGCCTAGCAGCAGAAACCACCTGGGGAAATCTAGTCCCTTTCAAGCCAGCACAGGTTCCACTAACAATTTGCACCCTTGCTCTCTCTGCCTGCCAACAGTGTGGCAGTTCAGCTAGGACTACTTGAGTGAAGAAGCTGGAATTGCAGCTGGAGCAGTTAAGGCTGAGGCCACGGCTAGGACAGAATGTGCAGGAGGTGGGCAGGAGGTGGACGGGAGGAGGCCCTTGGCCACGCCCTTCCAGCTTTGGCTCTACTGTGCAACACAGGATGGACACTTAAAGAAAACTGAGCTGGGCAAAGTGGCACGTGTCTGTCTGCAATCCCTGCAACTTGGAGGCTGAGGCATGAGGATCACAAGTTCAAGGCCAGCCTTGGCAGTTTAGTGAGACTGGGCAACTTAAGTGAGACCCTGACTCAAAAAAAAAAAAAAAAAAAAAAAGGGGGGGGGAGGGAGGGAGGAAGGGAGGAAGGAAGGAAACAAACTTCTGCTTGGGATTGAGACTTCCTTAAAGGAACTTCCTTAAAGGAAACTGTGTGGCCAGGGGCAGAATTTTGTCAAGTTATATCATTAGACCAGCAAAACACTCTCCCTTCCCAAGGGTCACAATACCTTTCTTTGGACCTCAAAGACAGACACCAGCAGGAACCATCCTCTGGGTGCACCCCCACCCACAGGAAAGAGGTCACAATCTACAAAGCAGGTACCCACTGACAGCCATTAACCCCACTCCTCTTTCCCCAAACACTTCATGTTATCAGGGGCTCCACTGGCCTTCCTCTCCACCTAACATGTGCAGATCACCAAGGAGTAAGGTGAAGCTGGCCCTTCCTTTGTCCACAGGAAGTGCATCTAAGCTCCAACTCAATGGCCCACTTCCTGTCTCCCCTCTTAGCAAGCCCTAGCCCAGGAACTGGCAGAAGCCCCTCAGGGCAGACAGGCTGATCCTCTCCTGGCTCATAACTTTCTGGCCCTTCAGTCCTGACAGTTACCCTTCCTTTAAGCCCTTATCCCCCAGGAGGACAGTGAAGAGAGGAGGTATCTTTTTAAGAGACCAAGAATATTTGAGTAACCCAAAAAAGTAAAAGAGAGAAAACAAACACTATCTATTAAATTCCACACATGGACACTGAAACTTATGCTTGGCTGCAAATGTCAAATGTCACAATGCTTGGCTTAGGATTTGCTCCAGGATATAGAGTAGACATCCCTCAGTAGGACATCCAGAACTTCTAGGAAGTGACACAAACACATACATTTAGTCTCTGTTCCCACCTCTGGCTGTTTGCCCCAGACACCCAGCCCGCCTTCCCAGGAAGGGGCATGGGGCCAGTCTAGCCACGTGCCTCCCAAGGTTTAGGCCCAGTGCTTGCTGCCCATGGCACCCCAGCATCTGGAAGCCATCCCAGCAGCTGAACAAAGTGTCTTTTATTTGTGACATACAAATACAACCAATGCAAAAAAGAGATCACTTTTCCCTTTGATTCCAGTGATAACAAGTTGCTAAAGAAAAAAATATATATATCAAGAAGTTTATCTTCCAAGTTTTCTCTAAAAAAACACAAAGGGTTAAAAAGAACCATACATAGCTGACACCAACAAATAACCTGAAATAGAGCAGATACAACTTAAAAAAAAAAAAAACTTAAAAATATATCTTAACATGCCCCAAACAAAAAAAAACAACAAAAAAGGCCTGCTGTTTCTCAAAACCAAGACCCAAGGGAGGTGGAAACTGCCATCTGAGACATGAGGGCCCAACACCCACACCTGCAGTCTCAGCCAGTGCCTAACCTCCCAGCCTAACCTCCTGATGCCGCCTCTGGGACATGGCCTGCAGAGGCTGGGGGAAGCAGGGCATGGCCCTGAGCATCCCATTACCAATGACTGGAAAGAGACAACATAAACTGAGCTCACCTCAAATGGGGTCTATACTGGGGGTTCCTTTTGGTCCCCTTGAGTGGGAGGTATCAGAAATTCATGATCTAAGACAATAAATATTTAGCACTCTGTACTTTGAGACAGGGATCAGACTCTTCCTAAACGTGCTCTTGTTGTTTTGTGATTCTTAGGAGTTTGCCAACCCCTACCCAAAAAGTTCAACTCTCACTGGGGTAAAACCCCAGGGAGCCAGCAGGCAAGGCGACCGTGGCCGTATCCAGTGTAAAGCTGCGAGGCCCTCTCCCAGGAGTGCCAGGCCCGCTGCTGGTGGGGTCGAGAGCAGCACCAGGCTCTCAGCAGAGGCCAGGCTGGGAAGCGAGGCCTCATGAGCACAGGCTGCTATGCAGGCAGGACTCTGGGTGAGAAGCAAGGACCACTCTAATGAGATCTGCCAGGACAGACCACCTGAGTAAGGGCAGAGGGTGGAGTGAGCAGACTCCAGCAGCAGAGGGGCTGACGGACCCCCTAGGAGACAACTGCACAAAGGCTAGAACCTTCACGACATTCCCTGAAGCAAAGCTTGGGACGTCAAAAGGGAGGTGTTAGGTGCTTTTTCCTGGATAAAGATTTGGTTTTTCTTCTGGAAGAGGAACAAGGCCTAGAGATCAGGATGAGTGTAAGTTCAGAGCCCACATCCTCTACACCTCTAAGAGGAAGGCCTTCTCCCACTGCTCCAACCTGCTGACACAGGATGACACCAGAGAGAAAAGCAGAGCAGCTGTTTGGGCCACTGAAGGGCATTCCTGCTGCAGCTGAGCTGTGGCCCGGCTTGGCCAGGACAGTGGCACCAGTGCCTCACTGAAACAGTGAGGGGTGAGGCTGGGGGTGCAGGCAGAGGGGCCTGCTGCTGGCTGGGGGCTCTCTGAAGAGGGAGGACAGCGGTGGGAGGGACATCCCACCTTCAGAGAGATATCAGCACCAACAGGTGAGAGGAAAGTATCAACTACACCAGGAACAAGGGATCCTTCTGGGGGAAGACAAGAGGCTCCCTGATGTTACTCCCCCCTTGAGACTAAGAACAGAGGTATCTGGGGTGGAGGCAAGAGGCAGGGGAGAAAGTGTCGAGAGGGCAATGGAGAGGAACAGGCAGGGCCTCTGGCTTTCTTCTTGAATTAAAAGCTCAAGTCACCGCCATGAGATCAAGAGGTCAAGCTTAGAATGCAGCAAAGTCTAAGAGCCCAGAGAAGCAGGCATCCCCATGTTAGCCCCCAGGACACCTGGCTGGTCCTGTCCGCCCTCCCTGACAGCAATGGAGAGAGGCAGCCTTCCGGTTGGCCGGTCCCTGGACAACTCCACTCTGTGGATCTACAAGCATGTGGCTAGAAAGAGCTTCCCTGTATCTTGGTGTAGAAGGCCTATGCAGTCTCCACACGAGCGCCATCCATGAGATCGAGAAGTAAGGGAGCCAGGGTCTCTCTGAACCAGGGTCTCTCTCTCTTGCTTTGCACTTGGATCATACAAAGTCCAGTCCTCTTTGGGGCCCAGCAGACCCCAGACCAGGACTCTTAAAACTTTCACAAGAGTGGATAAAACATTCCATTTGTCCAGGGAAGGGGAAGGTCCACCAGGAATCCAACTGTGGGGAAGTAGGGGAACCTTCTGAGTGGAGTGAGGAGGCAGCCACAAGAGAGGAGCTTCCCGCCGGCCCGCAGTGGTCTTCCTGTAGCACCCTCTCCCTCCATTCCCTCCTGGCACTGTGCTCTTCCAAGAGAGAGGAGACGGGGCAGCGTGGACCACTCCTCCCCAGGGTTCTGTGCTCTCAGGGTGCCATCTGGTACATACAGGGTTGAGGAGACCACAGCTCTTAGGGCACCTGGCAAGTGACGTGAGACCAGGGGAGAAGACAGGCCTTAGGAGAGCAGATTCTGACGTAAGTGGCTCTGGGAGTTCAGTGACAGCAGCCGCCACAGTGCCCACCTGCGTGGGAGTGCTGGCTGTCCCCAAACTTGGTTCTCCGGCTCAGGATCTCATAGGAGCAGTCTTCCCCACAGCAGCCAGACATGCTGGGAGAAGAGTCATCAATTTCAAATCTGCAAGGTAGACAGGAGAAAGAGCTGACTGCAGGCAGCTGAATGCCTTCCTCCCTAGCCTGAGAACTTTCCAACAGTGCCACTGATGAGACCCCTGGAACCAACGTGCAGGGGACCAAGTCAAAGGACACTGACGTACTATCTTACCAATGCCAACCTCCCATGCCCCAATGGACTGTGAATGGGGGCTGGAACCAGGAATGCCGCACAGGGACAGTGCCTCTGACCACCCAGAAGGACCACGTCAGGGCCCAGCTCCTTACTGTAGTGCTTCTCGGAAGAACTGGTAGGCACCGTGATTGTGTTTAAATACTGTTAGCATCACCTTCTTCATCTGTGTACTGCAAGAAAGCAGAACAGGAGCTTAAGAAGCTTTTCTCTTTTCTTTTTCTTTTGGTACTTGGGATTTAAGGCACAGGTGCTTTACCACTGAGCCACATCCCCAGCTGCCCCCCGACCTTTTTTAAATTTTGAGATGGAGTCTTAACAAGTTACCTAGGGCCTAAGTTGCTGAGGCTGGCTTTGAACTAGCAATCCTCCTGCCTCAGCCTCCGAGTAGATGAGATTACAGGCCTGCGCCACCGTGCCCAGCAGAGCAAGTACTTTTTAGAAAGAGTCAAGGCCATGCCTCCTCTCCCTCATGTCCTTGCTACTTTCCCCTAAATTAACCCAAAAGGAGTCCCCAAGTCTCTTGTCCAGCCTGCAAAGACCCTAGGTACTACAGCACTCAGTGTTTCCCTCCACAGCAGAGTGGTCAGACTGCGCCAGGATCTTCCCCACCCTGTAGCCCCATTACTTAGGCTCAGAACTCAGCACAGATCAGGCCCTGAAAAGATGCTCCCAGGGCTGGGGCTGGGGCTGAGCAGCAAAGCACTTGCCTAGCACAGGTGAGGCACTGGGTTCAATTCTCAGCACCTCATATAAATAAATAAATTAAATAAAGGTCCACTGACAACTTAAAGAAATGCTTCCCGCTCTGAACTGAAGGACAAAACTGGAGTCCAGCAAGGCAAGGAGCAGGATACTGAACAGATTCTAGATGCTGTCTCCAGAACATTCTTATGATTTGTCCTCCAAGGAGACTCAAAGAACAGTGGACTCAGAGGTAGCTCTTTCCAAAAGACCCATACAGGATCTCCTAAGAAGGTGGCCCTTTTAAGGTCCTTACTTAGCACCTGGACGGCCATCTTAAGTGAGAGCCGCCATTTTAAGAAAAATTCTGCTTTCCCTTGGGTATTCCTGAGAAAGGCTCACCACTTCCTCGTACCAATCTCATCCTTAACCACCCACATTAGGACCTGCCCAGCTTTAATCCCTGAGCCTGCCCCATAAAAGTCCTGAACCACAAGCCTGTTTCGCCTCTCTCCGTCTATGGAGAGATGGCCTTTATTTGTCAGCTCTGACAAATAAACTCTTGTGTGGATCTCTGCCTGGTCTCCATCTTTCACTTCTCACTCACCGTCTCCGGGTTCCTTGCTTTCTTTTCAGCCCTTACCTGTTGGCCATAAGCTGCAGGATCTGTATGAGGAACTTCCCCAGGCCTTTCCGCCGCACTTTGCTCTCCAACTGCACTTCATAGCTGGAATAAGGAAGCAGAGGGTGAGTGCAGGTTGCTGCATGAAGGGGCTGCAAGGCCCATCAGAGGAGCCTGCAGTCCCTGCAGCCCAGACCCAAAGGCTTTTGCCACGTGGTCTCCTCCCCTTGGCTGCACCCCCAGGCCCTGGCTCCTACCAGTACAGGACTTCATCCCCGCACTCCACGTCAAATCGGAAGTGAGAAAAGGCAACAGGCACAGAACTGTTCTCCCAAGCAATGAGATACCACGCTCGGTCGTCCGTCATTTCCTCCCGTTTCTCTCGGTCTTTCCAGCCCCACTCACTCTGCTCATACCTGAGGAATTCAGGAGCAGTCAGGACAGGAAGGCTTGGGGAAAAGCCAGCTGGGAACAAGGCTCCCCTCTGGTCAGCCCTGCTTACATGGTTTGCATATTCGTTTTGGTCAGGTCAAACGCCCAGTCCACGGTGGCTGGCTCCAGTCCAGACACCCGCTTACATTCAATGGAGACATTCAACCTGAGAAGAGGACAGGGAGGTGTGAGAGCTGGTCGAGTCTCTGCTCCTGCCAGGGCACTGCATTCCACCCTGCAACTCTGACAGAGAGGTGCGCCTGATCTCAGTTACCATTTTGGGTTGGATATGTGGTGTCCCCCAAAAGCTCAGGTGGAAGAATGTTCAGGAGTGACATGACAGGGTTGTGAGTTGCAATCTAATCTGTGGTAACCCCCCACTATGGATCAACTGGGTGGTAACTGGAGCAGGTATGAAGTGGCTGGCAAAGGGAAGTCACCGGGCTTCTGTGCTGTCCCTGGTGAGCAGAGCTCTCTGCTTCCTGATTGCCTTGTCCGGAGCTGCTGTCCTCCTCTAGCCCTTCAGCCATGATGCGTTGCCTCACCTCAGCCCAGGGCAGTGGAGTCGGCCCTCTGTGAACTGAGACCTCTGAAATCATGAGCCCCAAATAAACTTCTCCTCCACATTGTTCTTGTCAGGTCTTTTGGTCAGAGAGACAGAAAAAAGCTGACTAAAACACTCTCCCAAGAGAAGCCAAGGTGACTCCAGACATGACTGAAGAAGGTGCCTTTCGGGGCGAGATCAACAACTGTCATTGCCACACCTGCCACCTAACCACAGGGCCCTTCTCCTGCCTCCCCTGCCGGGTCCTTATCAGACTCAATACTCTGTCAACTTCTGTTCCTCTCTGCTACCTCTACTGCTCTTTTCCTACCCACTGGGCCTCTTGTTTTTGTTATAAACACTAGTGTCTGTTTGTCCCTTAGCTCCTGCCTTCAGGCATTCTTCCTGTTGCTTTAATTCTGCACTGACTATCACTGGCCTCCCACAGGCTCTCTTCCTTCTCATCTATACCAATCTGGCCTTCAAAACCAATTGGATGACCCTGGGTTCTTCAAGGCAACTACAGGTCAATACCCCTCAAGAAGCCCCACCTGCCTCTTCATCTGAGGACTCAGGGGGTATTCTCAGTTGATTAAAGAGGGTAGTACAGGGTGTAATCCACCATTGTTTTCCTAAACTAACAAATTCTATAGGTATTAAGGTATTTGTTTCTTTCCTTTTTTTAGTCCTGGGGATTGAACCCAGGGATACTTTACCTCTGAGCTATATCACCAACCCTTTTTATTTTACTTTGAGACAAGGTCTCACCCAAATTGCTGAGGCTGGCCTCAAACTTGTGATACTCCTGCCTCAGCCTCCAGAGTTGCTGGGATTACAGGCATGTGCCACCATGCCTGGCAGGTATGTTTCTAAAGGAAATTTAAGTAAAATAAAGTTAAACTCCCCAGTATAACATTCTATAAGTAATGACATTCTGGACAGCTACTTTTCCTTTCTTTCTTTATAGTGAAAAACTTACTTTGGAGTCAGGAGGCAGTAATGACACCTATCACATTGCTAGGACCTCCCCCAGCCACCTCCACCTTCATCCAGATCTGTAGCCTCTAAAGCTCCCAACTGATACATTTCCACCTCTGAGAGGCAAAGAAGCACCCACTGTGAATGGACTGAAATCAGCAATATGTAAGCCTTTAAGGAGCAACACGTCCAAATCTTTCAGGGGCCTCTCATGCCAACTCCAGGGGATGCTCCCACTGGAATTCACCACATCTCAGCTGACTGGCATTGCCCATGTGCTTAGACTAGTAAACGAAGAACCTCCTACTCCTTTAAGAATCTTTCTTTTTAAGTACCAATCACACAGCAGTAAGAATTGCCCCAATACAGCACTGCTTCTGTTTTAGCCATAAAAGGTCCAAAGACCAGTCTGCAGAATTCTTCCACTAAATCTGTGTTCAGTAAGTTTGTGAAAGTAGGAGCATGGCCACAAGAATCACACAAAATTCCAGGCATCGGAGGAACCCAGAGTCAACTGGAAAGGTGCTTCCAAGTTATTCCCTGTTTCTGGAAGTCAGTGAGAACACACAGACATGGAAACACTAAAGGATACCTCAGGAAGGGATCTCTAAACCATGTCAAAGGACTTTCCAGAAGCTGAAAGACAGTGCCTTCAGGAAGTGTAACATGTTTGCTCACAGATAGGAAGACATCAGAATAAAGGAATACTATGGTGCCGTGATACTGTGAAACACAGCCACGAAAAGCAAACAACACTGCCAGCTTCATAATTTACAAATCTGTCTCTCTCTTGTTCATGAAAATACTCATATTTGCTGCTACTTTCTGTACTGAATAGATTGTCCCTCCTCCTTAAGACAACCCTGAAGGTTGGCATCATCATCATCCTAACTGACAAGTAAGAAAATGAGGCGTAAGAATTACAACTGAGGGGCTGGGGATATAGCTCAGTTGGTAGAGTACTTGCTTCACATGCATGAGGCCCTGGGTTCAATCCCCAGTACCAAAAAAAAAAAAAAAAAAGAATTACAACTGAGGGCTGGGGTTGTGGCTCAGCGGTAAAGCGCTCACCTTGCACATTCGAGACCCTGGGTTCGATCCTCAGCACCACATAAAAATAAATAAGTGAAATAAAGGTATTGTGTCCAACTACAACTAAAAAAATAAAAACTTAAAAAAAAAAAAAAAAAGAATTACAACTGAGGGCTGGGGCTGGGGCTCAGCGGTAGAGAAGTCGCCTAGCACGTACAAGGCCCTGGGTTCCATTCTCAGCACCACATAAAAATAAAGAGTTAAAAAAAAAAGAAGAACAAATGAATTACCCAAGTAGGTTTAATAAGAGGCTCTGCTATGATTCAACCCATAATCCCGGGAAGCCACAAACCCTGTTTCCTCAAGCCAAGATATTCCATTTCAGAAATTTAACTCAGCAACACCATCTCAGGTAAAACAGATTATGCTTCCTATTTTCTAAAACCAAAGGACCTAAAACCAGAGAGGGCCTTTAATCCAGATCATACAGCAAATCAAATCAGGGTCACAACAATTAATACTTATCTAACTTTCAGTGTGCCCCAGGAAGCAATCCACTTGACAACCCCCTGAGGAAAGCTCTATTATCAGGTCAATTTCTGATTAGAAAATTAGGGGACAGGGGCTGGGGGTGTGGCTCAGTGGGAGAGCACTTGCCTAGCATGTGTGAGGAACTGGGTTCGATCCTCAGCACCACATAAAAAATAATATATAAAATAAAGATGCTGCAACCAACTAAAATAAATAAATAAACAAACAAATAAATGAATGAATGAATGTCTGGAAAAGAAAGAAAGAAAGAGAGAGAGAGAGAGAGAGAGAGAGAGAGAGAGAGAGGCATTGTGTCTATCTACAAATGAAAAAAAAAATAAAAGAAAATTAGAACACAGAAAAGGTAAATAACTTGTTCAGGGTCACACAGCCACTACAATTATACTATATACTCAGGAAAAATACACTGGACTGGGAATAAAAAGTCCCTTTGGCTGTGAGGGGGAACTCCAGAAACTCAGAAACCTCATTCAACTTCTCTATGCCTCAGTGTCCCATGATGTTCCTATAAAATGAGAATGTCAGCCTGGGCAATTTTCCAAGTTTATTTCAGCTTTTATTATTCTTCTTACAGAGATAAGAGTTAAGTCCTAAAGGGACATCAATCTGAGATTAAGTGTAAAATCTTTGTCTATTTACCAATTCCTGTGTCACCCTAATGGGGACTTCACAGCAACAGAAGGCATTATCCAATTTCTGCTTTTCCCTTTTCTTTTTTCTCAGTACTAGCAACTGAACCCAGGGCACTCTACCACTGGGCTACGTCCCCAGCCTTTTTTATTTTTTGCTTTTGAGACAGGGTCTCAGTAAGTTGCTAACACTGGCCTTGAACTTTCGATCCTCCTGCCTCAGCCAGCCCACTGATATTACTGAGATTACAGGTATGCACCACTGTGCCCGGCAATTTCAAATCTAGATCTGAGAAAGCCTATTCTAGAGAAGTGAATTCCTGAAGACAATCAAGGAGACAACTTCTGAGAATGCTAAATACGACTCACCCGTTCCGGTCATATTTCTTGAACACTGGGAAAGCCTCCAGAGGGTCTCCAAGCTGTGGAGGGAAAGGAGAGGAGTAGCACAGACAGGTGGGTGGAAGTGCTGGCCCTGCCCCCAAATCCCTGCTGCCTGAGAGTAGGATGCCACAGGGACTCCTGAGGGGAGGAGAGCTCCTGGCCCCAGAAGCAGCTTTCCCAGGGCCCTCCATCTGCCTAAATTCTGAAATTACATGGAGGAGGGAAACTTTGGTCAAGAGGCACAGGAGTTAAGTTTAGCTTCACCTGACAGGGTAAGAACAGACTTCACTGGCATATGGGGCAGAATACTGCTCACAGTACAGCTAACACAGAGGCCACAGGATTTGCTCCTATCTTCACCTACTCAAATCTCCAAATTGAAAAAGCAGTCCGAAGCTGTGTTCTTGTAGATATGCAATTTTGATTATGAGAGAACTACAAGAATAATAAAAAGGAGCTCGGTACAGTGGCACACGCCTATAATTCCAGTTACACAGGAGGATGGCAAGTTCAAGGCGATCCTGGGCAACTTAGCATGACCTGCTTCAAAATAAAAAATAAAAAGGGCTGGGGATGTAGCTCAGTGGTAGAGCATCATTGGATTCAATCTGAAGTACTGCAAAATAAAAACAAATAAATAAAAATAAAAGAATAACAAAAGGTGAGATATGGGCTGGGGCAGAAGGATGGTCAGAATTTCTCAGGTTCAGTTTGGAGGCTGTGGCCACCAGGTTGCTCCCAGTCAGCCCATCTGGTACTGATTCACAGACACTCCTCCTGTGACTGGGGCCCCTGGAGGATTAGGCTGCTGCGTCCCCTTGGCCCAGCACAGCCTGAACAGTAAATGTCTGCAGGAATGAATGAGAAAACTCATATCATGTTTCACTAGGGAGGAATTCTCCCCAAAATGTGAACTCCTAACAAAAATTTCTCGAGGCTCTCTACTATCAGTAAGAGAAACTGCCACTGCCACTGGGATCCACATCTCCCTGTACAACTGGGCCAACTGCTGGCACCTCTTTTCAACTCTCCCTCAGCAGGTAGGAGGCAGAGGACAGGTGGGCAGTGTCACGATTCTGCCACATGGTGGCACCAAAAGAAGTCAAATTAAAAAGCAAGCTGAAGTTCCAATAGGCAGAAGTGAAAAGAAGAGTCACCCTGTTGGCTGCATCCACTTTGGCACAGACAGCATCCATGGCTGCACGTTCCTCCAGCCGCTTCTGCTTCTTCTCCTTTGCTTTGCTTGACTTTCTCTGCAACAGGGAAAAGCCACACTGATTGGAGGAGCTGAGGACTAGCAAAGAAAAGACTTGACTTTCCCTTTGAGAAATCAAAGGGTCCCTGCGACCACAGGCCTGGCCCAGCAGCAGGAAGCCTCCCACCCAGAAGGCAAAACACTTGGTGTGTGACTTAAACAGGGAACACTGTTTCCTTGTCATGAGCCCTAAGCGGTGTCACTAGACTTCCTTTCAAGAAGAATACTGACTCCAATCACTGTGAGGACCCTGCAGCAGAGCAGGCCCCCTGCAGTGATGAATATCCACTCATGTGCTCCCTTGTGAGGTGGAAACACCCAATTTCAGGCCCATTTGGGGCAGCTTTCGGGAGATGGCATCTGAGGTAGCCACTAACAGCTGTTTCTAAGTGTAAGTTTATGCAAAGACTTTTGGGTATCTTCTGGCCACAAGAGACAAAGGTATGATTGGGGGTAGTCCTGTGGGAGCTAGGTCACCTTTCAGAGCAAGGACCAGGGAACTGTGAATACAGAGCCATTCCCAGCAGCCCTTCTCAGTGTTAGGCATACTGTTCACTTAGCGATGAGGGCAGAGTGAAGGGCCCCAGGGGGTTCGCCTCAGGCCAAAGGCGATGCTGCCAGTCAGCAGGACCAAGTGGTGGGTACACAGGCAGCAGGGGAGGGGAAAAGGGAGGCTCCCTGAGCAGAGAGGGGCAAACAGCAAGCTGCCCACAGCTATAGATCCTGTTCTGAGGCTAACATGAGGTTCTCTCTTCCTCTGGGGAAGAGCCAGGCTCGGGATTCTGACACAGCTCCTGCAAAGCCTCCTGTCCCTCCAGGTCCTAGGAGGACATGGCCCTTCTCTGAAGCCCCTTCCCTGGTCTGAGAGAAAGTTAATACCTCCATGATGGTATTAACACCAAGATGGTTATATGACAGGTGCTCAAAAAATGATGGTACTCATTCTCACAAGGATCAGACAGCACAGCAGAGGAACTGACCCACCCAGTCCAAGTACCCCAAAGGCCTGGGCAAGCTGGTTCTGCTCTTACCAACAGCATGGCCTCTCCAACACCAGCCTTCCTCTCCCAGAGCTCACTGGAGAAAGGTTTTGACAAGCCACAATTACAGTCTAGCCCTGACACTGGCCCCAGGAAAGGACACACATCGATTAACATGCACTTGAGTCAAAGAACCAGCTGCTAGGAAAAGTTTCTCAGGATAAATTCTGCCCCAGCAAATTTCTAAGAAATGACACCGCTTAACTCCTACTTCAAACAACAAGAAGCAGAGCCCAAACATCAGGAATTCACAGGGATTGATCTTAGAAGCACAAACCCCACCAGAGCCAGCTAGTAACTGTCTGGCTGAGCACTTTTTGCAAAAGGCAGTCTAGATCCCATTTTTCAGCTGCCTAGAGGAAAGGACAAACAGAAAATAGCCTGTCCTCAAGAGGCTGCAATCCAGATGCAGACCCACTCTCTCTCTACCTCGGGTAAATTTTACAACATCCATATTTTTCTCTGTGAATTTAGGCTGTAAGACAACATTCAGACATTCACAGATTGCAAAGTACTTGCAAAAACATTATGTCACTCAGTTGCAGAGTGCTTGCTAAGCATGCCCAAGGCCCCAGGTTCAATCACTAATACCTCAAAACAAACAAACAAACAAACAAAAACTCAGTATGCAATTCAAATCCCAGAGCAGAAACCATCACCTCCCTTTACACATTAGGAAACTGAGGCTCAAGGCCAGGAGTGGTGGCAAATACCTATAATCCCAGCAAGTTGGATGGCTGAGACAAGAGGATCAAAAGTCCGAGGCTAGTCTTTGCAACTTAGTGAGACCATGTCTCAAAATAAAAAGGGCTCAATGGTAGGCACCCCTGGGTTCAATCCCCAGTACTGCAAAATAATGATGATGATGATGATGATGATGATGATGATAATGGAAACTGATGCTCAAAGAGATGAAGTGACTCTCCTGGACAGTAAGTGCCTGAAGGGAGATCCAACCCCAAGAGTGAGGCCATAGATCCAGGGTTTGTTTCACCAGCCCCACTGTCTCCCAGTAGGATAGCCTATGTCTAATGTGATAGGACTCCACTCAGTCATTAAACAAAGATCTTCTCACATCCTGCCAAGACCAGGGGCCTCAGAAGCACTCAGCAGCCCGTTCCTCATTGCCCGTGCACCTGGCAACAGCTTGCCAACAGAGCACACCTAGGCCCTGCCCTCCAACTGAAGCAAATGGAGAGAAAGCCCAGTCAGAGGGTCTCTGGGGCTGCACAATGGGGCAGAATAACATGAGCTTTAGCATCAACCAGATCAGGCCAATGGCTGTCCTGCCACCCACAGCATGACTTGTGAAAGCAACTCATCTCCAGCAAGACAGGAATGTAAAGCCGGCCTCACGGAGGAGATGCAGGAAGGTCAGACACCAGCACACCTTCGCAACAGAGGCAAGCTCCCTTCCTCCACTCCTAACACAATGTAGAGCAAAAGATGAAAGGTGCTGGTAGGCAAATGTGACTCCCAGGACCCAGAAAGCATTGATACTTGGGTTCCCACCGCAGCATCTCATTTCTAAGCAAAAGAAGTAATTCCTAAGCACAAGCAGTAGGAGGGCCACCCAGGCCTCCAGGTGATTTACTGTCTCATTCACACTCAGGAACTGGAAAGCCAGATGATCCTCAGAGTGAGGCTTGGTGCTGCTGTGGCCTGAGGCTGAGATAACTGAGTATGCCTTAAGCATTTTGCAGCCTGAAGAACACAGGGCAGAGGTGGGAGGCAGGCTGCAGCAGGCTGAGCCAGGCAGACGACTCTCCCTTAGACCCAGCAAGCAAGCACCAGGAAGAGTGGTCTCCTACTGTTCCAACTAGCTTTGCCCCTGCCTTGTGGAGGTAAGGCTGTCCTGCAGGGACATAGGAAAACTCTCCTAATTAAAATGGGAAATAAGTAAGTGAACAGTAAAGCTCATTGTGGCTAAGTGTCTCTCCCAAGGGAACTTTATATAATAAAAGAGTGTAGGCTTTTGAGTCAAGAGACCTGGATTTGATTCTCAGCTCTTTCACTTAATAGCTGTATGACTGTAGGCAATGGAAAACCTTTACAGCAAGTTACTCCGTTTCTCTGAACCTCAGTTTCTTAATCCATAAAATGGGGCTAACAATGCCTACACTATTGGCCAAGAGACTGCTGTGAGGACAAAATGGTATAACACACTGCATATAAAAATCCTTCATACTGTGAAAACAACCAGAGATATGAAAAATTGTGCTCTATATGTGTAATATGAATTGTAATGCATTCTGCTGTCACATATAACAAATAAAATAAATAAAAGCAGAGAGACTCCACTTGCCAGAAACAACATACCCCAAAGGCAAGACCCCAATGCCCACCTCCTCCAGCCACACCTTACTCGCCTTCAGTTTCCACTCAATCCCATCAGGGGATTAATTTACTGATTGCATTAAGGATTTCATAACCCAGTCAAAAAAATCCTTCATACTAACATCTTTTGTCAGTTACAAGGACCCACTAGTGTTAGCCACTGCCAGTGCTTTCATAAATATCATCTGTTTTGGGGCTGGGGTCATAGTTCAGTTGATGGAGTGCTTGCCTCACATGTAAAGGCCCTGGGTTCAATCCCCAGCACCACAAAAATAAATAAATAAATATCATCTGTTTTAATAGGCTGTAGTAGTTCACACCTGCAAACCAGTGATTCAGGAGGTTGAGGCAGGAGGATCGCAATTTCAAAGCCAGCCTCAGCAACTTAGTAAGGCCCTAAGCAATTTATCGAGGTCTTAAGAAACTTAGCAAGACCCTGTCTTAAATAAAAAATAAAAACAGGCTGGGGGTGTGGCTCAGTGGTTTCAAGCACTGCTGGGTTTAATCTTCAGTACAAAAATAAAAGAAAAAAAATCTGAAGCACAGAGAGGCGGAGAAAGGGTCACAGAGCTAGTAAGCAGAGTTCTCAGCAGTCTTCCTACACCTTCCCACTGGACTGCACTCCATTGAGGCAGATCTAGATCCGCTTTATTTGCCAATGTATACTAGGTGCTCAGCCAACAGTAAGTACTTAGTTCCTATCTGTTGGATGAATTATCTAAGACTCAAATCTAGGTTTGAGCCACAAAGACCATGCTCCTCCCACTGTATCACATATGATACTTGTTAAAAAGTGCTATATAAGCCGGAGCAAGGGCACATTCTTGTAATCCCAGAGACTTAGCTAAAGCAGGAAGATCCCAAGTTCAGGACCAGTCTCAGCAACTTAAGCAAGACTGTCTCAAAATAAAAAAACAAAAAGAACTGGGGAGCCGGCATGGCAGTGCACACCTGTAATCTCAGAGATTCAGGACGCTGAAGCAGAAGGATCAGAAAGTTCCAGGCCAGTCTTAGCAACTTAGTGAGACCCTAACTCAAAATAAAAAAGAGGTAGGGAGCTGGGCTTGGTGGCGTACACCTGTAATCCCAGAGGCTTGGAAGGCTGAGGCAGGAGGATTGCAAGTTGAGACAGCCTCAGCAACTTAGCGAGGTCCTATCTCAACACTACTCTCTCTCAACCTGAGGTCAGGAAAAACAGGGCCCTCTACCCAAGCGTGACCACTAGGAATAATGAAGTCCTGTCATCAGGTGACAGAAAGTACCAACTAAAGTAGAATAAGGATAATTGAGAGGGTTCCAGCTCTGCAGCTTTGATTCAAGTAGGATAACTCAAATCTCTCTGTTGCTGAAAGGTGGTGGTAGATGTCATTATTTTTTGCTATTGGGGAGTGACCCCAGGGTTGCTCTACCACGGAACTATACCCCCAGTCCTTTTAGTTTTTACTTTGAGACAGGGTTTTGCTATATTGCTCAGTCTGGCTT